GCATTGCTGCGCGCAGGCTGGCGCCGCCAGCTACCTGCTGGTGGAGACCCTGGAATGGGTGCGCGCGCCATGCCCAGGCGCGTCCCTGTGGCGGCCGCGCGGCGACGTCGCCGTGATGCCCGCCGAGCTGATCCCGCCAGCCTGGGCGGCTTATCGGCGACTACAGGACGATGGCTATGTGCTCGCCATCACGTGAAAAAGGAAAAAACGAGCGCATGCGAGAGCGGATATGCCGCTGGCGGATGCGCCGCCCTTCGATAGAGAGGTGCAGGAGGGAGGGGCGGATATGCCGCCGAAGAAGGAAGGCGGGCTCGGGGAGGGAAGGCGGCAGGAGGGAGCGGGGGCGGGCTGGCCGCCGACAACGAGGAGAGGAGAGGGGAGGCGGTGATGGCCGCCGAGGGGAGGCAGTTTGAAGAATAGTTGATCCCCCCCCCTCTCCCTCTCCCCCCTTCCCCTCCGCGCCCCGCAGGCGTCCTGAGGGCGGCTCGGCGCGTCGACCTGCGGCGCCCTGTCCTGAAAAACTGTTGTGTTGTAGTTGTTAAAACGTTTTTTGTGTTTTTTTCCCGAAACATAGCAATATCAAGAACAAACATGCAAAACATAGAAAGTTATGCAAATTTCGGGTTAACCGAATCGGACAGCCCACATCGACTTAGCTGACTTAGCTACTAAGTTGGGTATGTTGAGGTGTATGTATCGATATATCTTGGCAGTGGTACCCGATAGCTCAGTTGATAAGATGGATGGTTCTGTGAGTAGTATGTATGGTATGTTGTTGAATATACTTATCTAACAAAACGTTAAGTAGATGAATGCGAAGTTCGATATTTTATATATGTTGAATATGTGAGGTCAACTAGCATGAACCTACATACATCTTCGTTGAAACGATTTCATCGGATATACAACGCTCTTACCGCACTTACACCCACCCGACGATCAAAGAGGGCCCGAACCTGGCCGTCGGAGCCCCGGCGCCTTCCGCGGAAGAGTCAACTCATTATCCTTGTCTTTGTCCTTGAATATATACTCGGCAAGCCCCCCATCGGCGGCGGCACCCACCCCGCGAACTCTGCAGAATTTGCGCGAACTGCCGACGATGGCGTCTTTCCCGCGTTGGCAACAGCTTCGTTCCTTTCATCTAGCATCTCCTGGGGCTCCACCTTGCGTTCGGAGCGCAACCTGGTTTGTTCTTCTTCGCGCTGCGTAGCCTGCTCGAGACATTCCCTCAGTTTCTTATTAACGGCCCTCACCGTCTCCTCGAAGTCAAAAAAAAACCATTGGATTCGGCATTCTCGGTCAATCACCCATCACTCCCTTAGAAATAGCCCTGGGCGCGACTCGGCCGAAGCGAGCGGTCTCGGGGGGACCTCTCGGCATTGACGCAGCGGCATTATGTTCCTGAAGTTTCCCTCTAGCCTGTCTTTCCTCGCATTCTTCCTCCTGGGGCCCCCCTTCCCCTCGTTCTTCTCGGCTGTCGAGTTCTCCCCGCGGCAGCGCGCGCGCGCCCCGTCGTCGTTCATGCAACGATCGTCACAAAAAACCTCGCATGCACTTGGGACAATCGTGATTCCCACGTTCTCGCACGCGGAACACCAAAGAGCCCCCGCGCGGGGGTGCTACCCCAGTTTCCTCGCGCCAGCGGCCGCCCAGCCGCGAACGGCGCCGGCGGCCGGGCAGCGGGCGATGTTGCCGCGCTCGCCTGGGTCGAAGAACCCGTGCCTGAGGTCGCTGGCGAAGACGCTCCTTGTGGGCAGCACTGAATCTGAGGTTGGTCAAGTTTGCGATGTGGTTTATCTCGATCGGCTTCCCGTGTTACCATCAACTGGGCAGAGCATTTCAACTCGCCGCGCCTCCTCGCGGGGCCGCAGTTTCTCTGCCGGGGATCGGGCGTAGCTCTCATCCGCGGTAAGTCGGTTCGCCTCGGCCTGCCCAGCGGCTCCTGCCGCTGGTTATGCAATGTGACTCTCGGCCGCCTGCAACTCAGCGGTTGTCTGCGTAGTCGTCGCTCGCGGGGCCTCGCCGGCCCCCCGGACTGCGCGCCTCGCTCCCCCCGCCAAATTCTTCTCGCGCAGATGCGCTTGGCGCTCGGAGGCGACGGCGTTTTCGAGCCTGTCGGCTAACTTTCCCATTTCCGCAGCCGTTAAAGCCTGCTGCCGCTCTGCAAGTGCGCGCGCAGCGTTCGCCATGTTCTCCAGATCCCTGCCCAGCTGTTGGGCAGCGACCTCCTGTAGTCGGATCTCCGATTGCCTCAGTTGCTCACGCATCTCAGCCAAATGCCGCCCCCGGGCCTCCATTATCTCGACCCTTTTCCCTTCCTCTGCCTCTCGCCGCTCGCCAACTCGCCATCCTGCGCAGCGGTGCGAGGCGGGGGTCGCGCAAGACGGGCAGAAGAGGGTGAGGTTGCCGAAATCACAGCTGCTCGAGCATCCAAAACAGACGGGCCCCTCCCTTGCACTGGCCAGACAAGCCAGGGCGCCGCGATTCGGGCACATCAGCACGCCCAGAGCCAAATTTGGTACACTTGGCATTTGTCAGCGTGCTAAAGGTGCTCGACAAGTCAGACAAGTCCGACGCATCTGATCGCGGCCTCGGCTTCCAGCGCCGCCCTTTCGGGGGGGCGGGCGCGCAGGTCCGGGAATTCAAATGTCGAGGCCCCCCCGGAGGGCCCCGGGGCGCAGCTCGCGGGCGCCCCCCCCGGAACGAACATTGGGCACCGCTCCGGGACATCGCCGGACTCGCTTCGCTTCCCGAGGGGCGAGGTAACCGAAAGACTGGTAGTTTCTCGCCTCTGCTCGTTCGCGGGTCGAACGCTGTCGCCCACGAACCCCTCGTCCGCGATGTCCCCCGAGTGGCGTTCCAGAGGAGCCATCTGATGGGATTGGGCCGCTTCCTCGCAGCGCGCGGGTAGCACCCCGGCCGCGCGCTGCAGTAGGTCGCCCAGCGGGGCGGGGAACGCGGGGCCATCGACCCCGCGCCCCCCGCCGCGCAGCCCCTGGCTGTCGCAGTCCCCAATCAGCGCAGGCGTAGATCTACGCGAGAAATTCTCCTCAGACGATATCGTCTCTGCGCCGCGGTCGTCGCTAGAGGGGCGCTCGGAAGCGCCCGCGCGGTCATCGAGCGGGAGGCGGTCATCGCCCTCTTCTCCTTTGTGTCCTTGCTGAGAGATGAACTTGTTCTTGGGCCTCGGCGCATTTGGACGAAGCTCTTCTTCACATGAAAGGTTCCAGGATATTGCGCTGCGAGGGCGCAGGCCCGATTTCTCATGCTCTTCGAGGGAGACGGATTCAGGAACTTCCGCACTTTGTCTCATCCGTGCGTGATCCTTCACCAGGACGTTCATCAAGACTTACGCCACCCTTGAATGGTAAGGGCGTCGTTCCTCCACTAAGTCGGACCACTTTCATCGAAGACGCACTTCGCCTGATAACCCTCATTTTGCCAGTCGACCGATGACATTGGCAAATGCTTGACCAGGTTGATCGGCCGTTCCTCATCATATGTTTGCAGCCTCGTGCTCAGGTTCATCCTCGGGGAAAATGAACCTGGCGTCGTAGTGCTCCACGCCATGCGAGTGTGTGGGAATGTGTCCGCTAAACTTAGGTTGGCCCTAAAGGTAGGAAGGTGCCGGCCGGCCGCGCGCGCGGCGGGGCGGGCGCCGTGTACCAAAAAGTTGTGCTAGTTGTCCCGGGGATTTGGGCTAGCACCAGGGAGTTGCACTATTGGCTTGCACTAAGGAGTTGTACTAGGTGTGCACAGTTTGTTTACGAATTGCAATACGATGTCAATGGCACTCTAATACTTGTACGGCAAGACAATGTGCTCTCTAGGAACAACTGTGCGCTAGTACATGACTATACAACTTACACCTAAGTGCGAACTATACCGTACTCGGAGGGGCTCATGGGTTCCAACGACACGCGCGCGCTGGGGAAACAAAAAAAAAACATGCGCGCCAGGGGTCGCGGTTTTAACGGGTCGCCTCGAAGGCTGGCCCCCCACGGAAAGAAGAAAACCAATCCGGCCGCGCGGTTGGGGGGTTCATGCACGAGTCGCGGGGGCGATCTGCTTCCCCAGTTGCCACGACATGTTTTTACACTTCCTCCTCCTCCTCCTCCTCCTTCTCCTCCTCCTCTTCCTCCTCCTCCTCTTCCTCCTCCTCCTCCTCCTCATATTCCTCTTCATACTTGTCGTTTTCCTCCTCCTCGTCTTCCTCCTCCTCTTCTTTTTCTTCCTGCTCCTCCTCCTCCTCCCCCCCATCCTCCTCCTCTCGTTTTTCCTCCTCCTCCGCCTCCTCCCCCTCCTCCGCCTCCTCCTCCCCCTCCTCCGCCTCCTCCCCCTCAAGGTGCCAAGATAACGCTTCTTGGTGTTGGATGCGTTATCGTTTCGCCCGAAAGGGGAGGTCCGCAATGGCTTCCCCAGGTGTGTTTGCTCCCTACAACTAGACAGATGTCCCACCCCCCATCTCTCACCCCCCCACCACCCCGACTGCCAGGCACTATCGCGCGAAGGGCGCGCGCGCTGAAATCCGCTCAGCGCCGCCCGCAGGTTGAGAGGGGAGAGAGGGAGAATACGAAGATAGACGACAGACGACCACAGCAGCGAAGGAGAGGGGAAAAGAGAACACGAGGGAGGGGAAAAGTGAGGGGGGGATCCCCTTACACCCCCCTTCCAACTTCCTAACCCCCCGGCTGGCCCTCCTCTCATCCCATGCAGGGCGGTTCTCGTGGGCACATTTTACGTCGCAGCGCAGGAGATGCATTCCGCACGTGCGCTCGGGCAAGCCAGATGACGGTTTTGCGAATTGCGGGAAGAGGGGAAGGAACTAATGCCCTCACACAGCGCGGACCACAGCGGGGCGCCCGGGGCGGCCAAGCCGGCGCTGCACCCCTGGCAGCGGGCAAGGGGCGGCGTCGCGACCACACCCCCGGGTCGGGGCAGCGGCTGCACTGCGTAAGATCGACGACCAGCAAGCGGCGGAGGGGGCGCGGGGGGCCGTCCTCGTGGGCACACGGCTAGCATCGAAAGACAGCGGAGGGCAGGGCTCCGCGTACTGGCCCTCCTGGGGTGGAGGGGTGCGGCGGCGGCTACATCATGAACAGCCGCCATCAACACCCTCCTTCCCCTCCTCCTCCTCCTCCTCCTCCTCTTCCTCCTCCTCCTCCTCTCCTCCTCCTCTCCTCCTCCTCCTCCTCCTCCTCCTCCTCCTCCTCCTCCTCCCCTTCCTCCTCCTCCCCCTCCTCCTCCTCCCCCTCCCCGCATCGCAATCGCCAGCGCCAGCTAACTGCCCCGCCCTCTTGGAAACTACCCTGAAGGGCGCAGCAGGGCGACCTGCGCGCGCCCAGGTCAGGGAACACACGAACGATCCCCTCCCCCTCTCCTCGCAATCATTGCCAGCATCAACATTCGGCGGCGAGCGGGGGGGGGGGAGTGAGAAGGAGAAAGCGTTTTCAGAAGGTATCGGAGCTTCTCAGAAACTCTCGCGCCTTATGAACAGTTGTCTGTGTCTTCGGGGAGGGCTTGGAAAACTTCTCAGAAAGCCAGGGGACTGCCGAACCTTCTGAAGGCCCGCCCCTTTCCACTTCCCCTCTGGGCTCGCCGCCGAATAATCGCCAGCTTCAACATGAACATCCACATCTGCCCACGTCATACTCCACAATCTGAACGTTTTTGATCGTGGTCGGTGCTCCCTAGACAATCATGTTTTGCCGACTTCCCTTCGAGAACCATCCAGCTTTCCTTCCCACCAGACATGAGCAACATCCTCCGCTCATCGCCCGCGTCTAAGATTCCACCCACCATCACGGATCGTCTGATGCCCACCAACCGTCGCCTCTGGAGGGACAGCAAAGATGACCATAAATAAAACCGAATGCGAAAACGTCAGTATCGATCTGGGTCATCGTCCATCTTGGTCACCGTCAATTTGTGGATCATCCTCGCGAATCGGCGACGGCTGGCATGGACTGTGACCTAGACTGGCGTCGACAAGATCCCGTGACATCCTGGTTATTGTCATCATGATTCTTCCCTCGAGATAACCACCACCCGTGGCTCCATCATCCACCTATCATTCATCCATCGGAGGGGACGAAGGGGCGAATAGCCAAAGGGCGGGCATTACACGCATTTGCCGAGGAGCCTCGCCCGAGACATCGATCATCGGCACCCTTGAATACATGCATTGCTCCCCTCTTTTCCATTCGCCCACATCGTCGCCTCCGAATCCACCAGGCCCCATCCGCAAATCATCAGGCAACCGTCCATCATCTGTACAAGTCTGGTGGTCGCGCCTGCGCTCCCAGGCTCCAAGGCACCACGTGCTCACCTGCTTCGGTGTCTGGGCTGCCCCAGGGCTCGACGCCTGCCAAGGCGAACAGTCCTGTCCCACGTCTTATTTCTGGCCGACCCCCTTGCGCAGGACCTGAGGCGATACCGTTGGCAACGGCTGGATTGGCGATACCGTTTGCGATACCGCTGGCAATACCGTTAGGTGCTCAGAAAGCGGGGTCCAAGCCTCGATTGGACCACGCCCGGACATCCACCCCCGAGCATCCGTCGCGGATGGAGCCTTTCCACAACAACACATCAGGGGGGAGAAGTCCGCCGACCCCTTGGGGATCATCGGCGTGTGAGATGCTTCCCCCTCCCCAAACCCCTCCCCCCGGAGCCTGGTCCGGTCGATTTGGAGGGGGAGGGGCCGTCCGGCCCGAGCTCATCAGGGAGGTCCGGCCCTTCCCGGGCCCCTTTCGGAGGCCACGACAGCTTTTGGGGCCGCCCAAGAGGCCCCCAAAACCCCAAGATGTTCCCCAGAGGCCCCCAAAAAGCCCCGAGCGGCCCCAAGAGGCCCCCCAAGTCGGCTTCGAAAGGGTCTCACGACAAGTGTTCTCGAGGGCTTCACTACATTTCTATTCCGCCCCTTCGAGGTTCCGAGATGATTTGCCAAGATCCTCGTGCTTCACTGCCTTTCTCAGAAGCCCCACTCGAGGTTCCGATGTGCTTTGCTACGGTCCCCAGAGGCCCCCAAGTTGGCTTCGAAAGGGTCTCACGACAAGGGTTTTCGAGGGCTTCACTACATTTCTGATCAGCCCCTTCGAGGTTCCGAGATACTTTAATAAGATCCTCGTGCTTCACTACTTTTTCTCAGAAGCCGCATTCGAGGTTCCGATGTGCTTTGCCACGGTCCCCGTGAGGTTTCGCCTTAGCTACTCCTGACCTTCACGAGATCGCCTTGGACCGCATCGTGGACCCCCTTCGCCACTCTAGTCCCCAATCACGACGTCTAAGATGGTCTCCAAGATGCTCTGCAGACGCCCCAAGAAGGAGGAGCCCCAGTAGGCCACAATCATTGATTTCCGTTTGTTCTTTCAACGCTTTTGCCCCCGAGGCGACCTCATAATCCAAAAGACCCCAGACGCCTCCAAACTGCTTCGGGCAAGCTCCCGAGAGGCTTCTCACGAGATCCCAACGAACAAAGACGCCTAACATGATCCGAAGACGGCCCGAGAGGCCGCCAAGACGTTCCAAGATGCTTCCCAAGAGGCCTCCAGGAGGCCAAAATCTTCAAACTTCCTCCTCCGGAAAACGTGCAGTTCTAGCGTATACGATTTTTCGCCCTTCACAGCGCGGAAGACCCTCCAATATGCCTCCAAGACCGCCCCAAGACGGCCCCATGGGCTCCCAAGAAGCCCCCAAGACGGCACAAGAGGCGCCCAAAACGACCCAAAAGGGCTCCAAGACGGCCCCAAGAGGGGCCCGACAGGGGGACCACGAAACGAACATGCCGTCCGCCCTTAGAGGCTCCCAAGAGGCTACAAGAGGCTCCGAAAAAGTTCAGACGCTCCCAATTGGACCCCAAGAGGCCCCAAGACGCCCCCCAGAGGCTCCCAAGAAGCCCCAAGGGGCCCCAAGAGGCCCCCAAGTCGGTTTCGAAAGGGTCTCACGACAAGGGTTTTCGAGGGCTTCACTACTCCCCTTCGAGGCTCCGAAATGCTTTGCCAAGATCCTCGTCCTTCACTACCTTTCTCAGAAGCCCCACTCGAGGTTCCGATGTGCTCTGCCCCGATCCCCGTGAGGTTTCGCCTTAGCTACTCCTGAATTTCAAGAGATCGCCCTGGGCCGCAAGATGCAAAAATCGCTACATTCCAATCCACAAAACGTATGATATTAACACATTCGCCTCTTGGGATTTCACGATTTCGGTTTGACCCGATTTCGGTCGGGGGAGGTTCACGTCGAGGCTCGAACCTCGAACCTGGAGGATCGAAGTTCGAGGGTGGCGGTTTTCTGGCCTTCGGGGACCCTCCTCGTCACCGTGGCTGGGCGCAGCTCGAAGAACTTGTGCGCTTGGCCCCTGGGAGGGGTCCAGTGACCCATCGTGGGCGAATCTGTGAGCCTCCCCCAGGGCACACCCTGGCACCGCCGCCGCCAGCGACGACAGCGGAAGCGACGACGACGACGACGACGACGACGACAACGACGACGACGACCGACGACCGACGGACGGAGAACCGGAACGGACATTTCGAACCTTCTGCTCCAAGACGCCCCCAATGTGCCCCAGGGACCCCCAGGAAGCCCCCCCCCAAAAAACAAAGGGGTCGGCGGTGTGGCGTAAGCCTAAGAACCATGGCGAGTGAGAAAAAATATCACCGCGGATACAGAGCGGCATTGCAAAAGCATGCTATGACATAGGATGCGGAGGGAGAGGGAGAGGAGAGGGGAAAGAGAGGTAGGAGAGGAGGGCAAAAATAGAGGTGGAAGGAAAGTAGTAAGAGTAAACACGGGTCTGCTCTAGGTACCTCAAGCCCCTCCTCTTGCGGACCGCGTCCTTCCTGCTACTCGAACTCGTACCTGGAAATCTCCCCGACGGTTGTGGCTGAAGACGCCACGGGCGAGACCCAGAAGCCCTCCGTTCTCAGGGCGTGAGTGCACCTCTGCCTGGCGAACAGATCTGGGCTCAATGAACGGAGGACGAACATAATCGATAACCGCGGCGACACTTGTGCAAGCGCGCGTGGATCACATGCAAGTTCCACCCGACCGAAGAGCCACATTGACAGAGGCCTAGACTCATGATGAGGTGCCGCAGCCTATGCGCGGCTGCGAGCAGAAGCTCGAAGCGCGACCTCAACCACCAAGCAAGCGTCTGAACACTGGCTCCTGGCACGCCAGCGGCATACATAAACAGTGGCCGGGTATTTGATGCAACGCGCACTGATGGCTACTGATGCAGAGACCAAAAAACAGAAGCGCCTTCCAAGCACAGGGCTGCCTGCGTTCATCGCGACGCAGCGAACCACAGACGCACCATCTTGGTGATCGAGGGGCTGACGAAGTCCTGGCTGCCTGCTGCGGCCGCAACGCCATCACGAGATGCCTGTCCAATTTCGGGAGCGGCCAAGAGGGGGGTGTCCAAGAGGGGGGGGTGCAAATCATGACTGGCGGCATGTGCGCGGCCCAGCGGGGGGGCCTGGGACGCAATAAAATAAGAAGAGGCGCCATGAAATCTGAGGAAAAATCATGGCCCGCGCCATGAAATCCCCCCCCCCCTTGTCATCACCCCCCTCTTTTCCGCCCCCGACAATCGAACCGCTCCAGGGCTGCGCACCGGCGAAATTACCGGCCAAGACTGGGGCGGGGGGATAGCTGCCCATCGCCCTCGGAGAGGCCCGCTGCAGCATCCGTGCCCTCCCGCTTCGAGGCCGCACTTCCAGGGTCCGCCGACGGGCACGCGGGCGGAGAGGGGCGGCTGCGGCGTCCAACCTGGGGACAGGCGGGCCGCTGGGTGGCGGAGGGACGTCGTCGTCGCCTCCCCGCGGCGCAGGCTGTGTCGGCCACTTCTTGCATCCTCCACGACCAGGTCCACGTCCGTGGCCTCATCCCACGCGCAGCCTGCCGACGGATCAGCGGGGGATGCCTCCGCTCACTCCAGCAGTGGCACCAGGCCGTGCGGCGAGGCTCAGACCCAGGATGCAGGGCCTGGGGCGCAAGCTGCAGGCCAATCCGACGCCTACCAAGGATGCACATGGGATGTGGACGCGAGAATAGCTCGCACTCCCG